CCCCCCCTTGATTATCCAGCAGAGGAGAAGATAGACTGCTGGCCTTTGGAGAAAGGTCACCGTCTTCTTTTGCATTCCTAAGAGCATTAAGCTTCTCAGCTACAACCCCATTTCCAGACATTGGCCAGCACCACCTCTGCAACAGAGTGCAAGATCTGCATTCTTACAGCAGTACATTTGGGAGAAAGAATACTGCTGCAGAGAGTATTACTGATCCTTTTCTATTTAAAGGTATGTGTAGAAGTATGTGTAAATGCTTGTTATACAACCTACTCTACATAAAGTCTCTTTGATTGGGGGAACGTTCAGGAAGTTTCAAAAAAGCACTAAAATCCTGCAGTTGAAAAACTAAATAGTTGGCTTTCATCAGTCCTCTTTCTTACAACGACATCACCACAAGTAACAATATCCACTGCTAAAGAAACATTGGATTAGTCCACATAAAACATTCACTGTGTCGCCAAAAGTTTCCTTTCACTCACCACATTCACTGAATTCAGATATTTCAATCACTCTCTGAGTGGTAGGCCAACTAAAAGACACAGAGCAGGTCCAGTGGATGTTGAGGCACAGTGCGCAGCGGTCGCCAACGTTCTGCAGTCAATCGCCACAGACATCCAAACTTAATGTGGCCTTCAGATTAACTCACCAACAATGCATGGAGAGCTTCGTGGAAGGGGTCACCATGACCAAGCAGCAGCGTCCAAGCCTTACATGACCAAGGACAGGAGACAATACTTGGCTAAGCGAACTGAGTCAAGTGGAGAGTTTGGTGGACAGGGATTGTGGCGTGGGGTTGTTTTTCAGAAGGTAGGCTCACCTCCTTAAAGAAACTCTTAATGCTTCAGCGTACCAAGACATGTTGCTCCTAGCTTCATGGGAACAGCGTGGGGACGACCCTGTCCTGTTCCAACATGACTGCACACCAGTGCACAAAACAAGGTCCATAAAGACATGGATGAGTGGGTTTGGTGTGGAAGAATTTTGACCTCAACCTGATAGAAAACCTTTGAGATGAAGCTTTCCAAGAAGAGTTGAAGCATTTATAGCTGCAAAGGGTGGGCCGACATGATATTAAACGCTAACCTTAACCCTTCAAAAGCGCGTGAAGACGGATGAGTAAATACTTATAGTGTACACTGACACCACCGTGCACTATGAGATATACGAGGGCTCAAATAAAAACTAATACTGGCTTGGGATTGCGTGAGGTTCGATGAAAGAAAGAGGAGGTGATGAGTTTGTGAGACAAAGTGGAGGATGCTAAAGAAAAGCCTGAGAGAAAACTTGTGAGGCTGATCAAGTGAGTAGGACCGAGAAAAAGACTCAGCAAGAGGAGAAATGGAGGGATAGAGCAAGGAGAGGCTCAGTAGGGAGAGGAGGGAGGGAGGGCAGGATAGTTGAGGTAGAGGGCAGGAAAACACTGCGGGGGTGAGAGCTGGA